CTAGTTCTACAAAAAAGTGGAAGGTGTTACTTGATAATGTGTCAAACTTAACTGTAAAATCTTTGTGCAACACACGCTGGGAAAGTAGAATAAAAAGTGTTAAGGCAATTAGATTTCAAGCTCCTCAAATAAGATCGGCTTTGCTTGAATTATGCAAATCATGTGATGATGCCAAGACGAAAAGTGAAGCGGAAAGTTTGGTAAGTGCAATTGAAAATTTTGAGTTTTTACTTGGTATGATTGTTTGGTATGATGTTTTATTTGCAATAAACATGGTTAGTAAAAAAGTTGCAATTAAAATCTATGTGCATTAATGCTACCATGGAACAATTTGAAGGTGTAGTGAAGTATTTTGAAAAGTATAGGAATGAAGGGTTTGCATCAAGTATGGATACTGCTAAAACAATAGCATGTGAAATGAATATAGATCCTACATTTTTAATTAAGCGTCGTATTATTAGGAAAAAACAATTTGATGAGAATAACAGTGAAGAAGAAATGCAAGCATCGGAAGAGGAAGCTTTTAGAGTTAATTATTTTCTAACCATTGTGGACATGGCAATTTCTTCATTGAATAATATATTTGAACAATTAAAGAAATTTGAAAGTATTTTTGGATTCCTATTCGATTCTGATAAACTAAAGTCATTGGATGAAAATGAATTGATGAGATCTTGTGTTCATTTTGGTGATACCTTTTATCATAATACTGTGGCGGATGTGGATGTAAATGATCTTTATTCTGAATTAAAGGTGTTGCAGGTGACTTTGCCAAATAAATCAATGACGGCAATTGAAATTCTTGAGTTCGTCAAAGTTGTAGATTGTTACCCAAATGTTTCGGTTGCTTATCGAATTATGTTGACAGTACCTGTGACCGTAGCATCTGCGGAAATGAGTTTTTCCAAATTGAAGTTATTGAAGACGTACTTGAGGTCATCAATGTCACAAGAAAGATTGAATGGATTGGCAATATTGTGCATTGAAAAAGACATGTTTGATAATATTGACTTAGATGTTATTACTGATGATTTTACATCCAAAAATGCTCGAAGAATTTGTTTTGTATGAATTAGATGCTATTATTGATGATTTTGTATCCGAAATACTCGAACAAGTTGTTTTGTATGAATTAGATGCTATTATCGATGATTTTGTATCCGAAATACTCGAAGAAGTTGTTTTGTATAAATTATTAGTATTATTGTATGAAAGTTTGTTTTTTTAATGATTAAAAATATTTATTTAGGATTTTTTTTTTTGAATATATAGAGGGCCCAAAATTCACAAATCGCTCAGGGCCCAAAAAATGTCAGAAACGGGCCTGCCCTCACTCCATACCTTAAGCAAGTAAACAAACAACTCTCACATTGAAGCCTGATTGATAATTTTGTCACCAATCAATTAGCAAATAACAGAAGATTCCACAAACACCATAGTTTCCTAATCCTAATCCTAATCCTAATCCTAATCCAACACTAAATATAAATCCTAGGTATAATATCCGTGTTTCGTTAACTTGTACAAATTGGGTTAAAAGAATTTTTGGTAGAATTATGCATAATATATTTGTACCCTATGTTTAACCAACTTGTACCCTAAACTAGTTTTGTGTTAAAAGTAGAGTTTATACCTATATTATCATAAGGTTGAGAATCTAGATTTGAAGGGTCAAAACCGCTAAATAGTTAAACTATATATATATATATATATATATATATATAATTTAAATAAAAAATAAAAATATATATATGTGCATGAGATGAGGCGGTGATACACCGCGGTCTCATTCTCCTTTTTTTTTTATCTCGTCTCAATTTTCTCTCTAAAATCTCTCGTCTTCTCTCTAAATTTTACGTCAAGTTAATAAGAGGATCGAAGTAACAAATATATATTCGGAATCCACTCTCCGAACCCTTCTTAAAGGTATAAGTTTCATTCAATTTTATTATGGTGTTTATGTTAGGGTTATTAAGATCGGTTTATAAACTGTGTTTATATCTAAGTTTACAGATAGATGTTGTCAAAATTATGATATATTTGATGCTTAGAATGCTAGGACTGGTTAAATTGATGTAGAAATGAAAAAGGTATATTATAGTTTCAATATGGTTAGATTGCGGGTATATGTTTAACCGTAAATCAATTGTTCGGTTAAATGCCGAAAAGAGTAAAAATACATGATTAAGCATAGGTTAACGACCATTAGACTTGTTTTACTGTTTAGTATGTTGAAGTATGTTTATAGCATGTAAATGGAGCAAATCACGGAAGTTGGATCATAAAAGTTAGTCGGGAATTACGGAATCGAATTTTACCGACAATGTAACTCCCGTAATTTGACAGTGTATAAMTCACAAACCGTAAGTCAGATTAAGCTCATATTTTGCAGTCAGGAAGATCATACTGCATACTACAACTTTCATTAAGGGTCAAAATCCCAGTTATGAATCTAAGTGGCTCGAAACAGTGTGTTTTCGGCGCTGTTTTTACTGTATCCGGAATTAATTTACAGTTTTGTAAAATTCATATAAAATAGATGGATGATCCAAATGAGATGATTTCAAAAGCAATAGACTCGTTTGACACCAACCTACAACTTTCATTTAGGAAATATAATCTGGATTGGTCTCTAAATAAGATAAAAATGCTTAGAAATAAGAGGGTCGGAAACGGTTGGATCGAAAGAGAATAATGCTAAGTTTTACGTTTGAGTTTTCAATTCCTATCCGGCTGTCCTTCTTGAAGTCTACGTTGTTTAAGTACATTAAGACCTAAGTAGTTTTATTAGAATAGTTATATTCTGGTTTTTATGCTTTGTAAATAGTAACTGGTTATGCATTCGTTAGGCACGCGGGCAAATCAAACTTGATCGTGAATTTTCGTTTGATCGTGCGTTAATTGTCAAATTCGGTTAAGGTACAGATTCCATATCTCACTTGACACGGGGATAGCCATTTGCGTAAGGCTTCCTAATCCGGATAATCTGTGATAAAATTACGAATAATTTGTTCTGAATTTTCTTTATGTTTATCAAATGGTATTGAACTTTGTTTCCCTTTGAACTACGACTTATATTTTTATTCGAAATATAATCATTTTGATCACTTGACTTGTTTTGTTTGCTTTATTGTGAAACAATTTACTATAGACTCAATAACTGGAGCACAGGTATTGAGATGTTGCCATGGTGACTAAAACGATCATGGCGTCCTTATTTTTATAGTCCTTAAAAGTGGACTTGATTATGTACCGGTCGAATAKAGGGCATATGGATCGATCCTAGGAACCGTTATCGGATATTGAATTGTGGCCATGGTTAAATTCACGGAGAGGATTGTTGTGTTGTGCTCACACCCCTTTCCTCACTTGTGCCTAAATGGACTGATCATCCTTTGGGAACAATGCGTCCTCGTGATGCGGTTTGGTCTTCGGACCTTGACATGCTTTTGGGGCATTTTGACTTTCTTTTGGATTATCACTTGGCATTATAAATTGTTTTTGAACTTGTTATATCATATTCATTGTTTAGTTATATTATTATCCGTTCACTGAGCATTAAGCTCAGCCGAGATTTTCTTGTCCTTGGCAGGTACATGACTTAGCAGGGATTTTGGGATGAGAGCTATGGAGATGACAATATTGAAGATAACCCATTAAGTCATACTTTTGTTAAACTTTTGATGACTAATGTAGGCATACTGGTATTTTGAAACCGTATTTTGAGACACGTTATCTCCGTCTATGGTTATGTAATTATATTTTGATAAATTTTATTAGCTGCTCTGTTTTATATAGCGCGTTGTTTGTTTTATTCCAATTGTGGCATCTCCCGTCTTTGACCACGCGGGACGGGGATGTTACAAGTTGTGGTATTTGAGCTGTAGGTTATGATCCTGTAGTACAATTTAGGTTTGATCTGTGAGGAATGGGTAGAACTAAGATAGGACTATCCTAAGCCTTATACATGTTAACTATTTGAAATCTCGTATGCTTTGTTTCTTTTTGAAATTAATCAAGCAAATGGTTTCCTATTATTTGTGTTAGTTCCAAATGCCGCYAAGAAGAATACCGACAATAACAGATAGACCTAGAAGAAGCCGAACTGGGTCTGAAAATGAAACAAATCCTCCGCCAACAACTCAACTTGATCCTAATGTGATGGCAGTTGTCTAACAAACAGTTACCGACATGTTACCAGGTATTATAGCACAGACGGTGGAAGCATTGCGTCAAACTGCTGAAAATATGAATCCTAATACTGGGAACTACGGGCCAGAATACAGGGATCAGGGAACTAGTAGTGAACTTGCTGATATTCATCAATGGTTAGAGAGGTTTCATAAACAAAAGCCTCGTACTTTAACTTCAGCAGCCACTCCTGTTGACGCCGAAGATTGGATATCACATCTTGAAAAGGTATTCCGAGTCTTGGGTTGTTCTTATAGAATTCAAGTGGAACTGGCCACTTATAAACTTGAAGGTGATGCTAATCGCTGGTGGCAAGCTTGGAAACAATCTTACGGAGGGGATATAGCTATTGAAAAATTAACTTGGCCGGGATTCAAAGATGTTTTCTATCAGCAATACTTTACTGTGGCAAACAAAGAAGCGTATGTTCAAGAGTACGCTACACTCAAACAGAAAGAAGACGAATCCATATCCGAATACGTATGCAGATTTCTACGATTGGCTAGTTTTGCGGGTAGTATGGCTGGTACGGTAGAAAACCAGGTTAATAAGTTCAAATGGACCCTCAATAGCAAATTAAGACCCAAACTTATATATCAACACTTCACGAGTGTTGCCCAGGTTGTTGATGCTGCAAGGAACATTGAAAGGGAACGACTGGACTCTATACTTTCCCGAGGTGATAATGGTACGAAAAGAAACAGAGATGTGTTTCAAGAAAATTCTACCGGGCGAGGAATCAATCGGGCAGGTCAGTGGAAACAACCAAATTATAGACCTCCAATTGCATCTCAGGGAAATTCTAGTAAAAGTTTTTCGAATACAACTTCTCTGTTACGGTGCAAAGATTGTGGTTTTAGACATCGTCCTGGCCCATGTATTCGAATGACCGGCACCTGTTATAATTGTGGTCAACAAGGTCATATAGCTCGTGATTGTAAACAAGGGCCAAAAGATAATTCTAAAGATAAAGAGAAGCAATCTACTGCCGGTGGTCGAG